TATATTAGCCTTTTAGACACTATACAACACAACACAAAACATTACTAATTACTTTTGAACACTAAGGACAGATCTAAAACATTATGAGTTATATTTACGAACAATGAAAATAGCAAATCATGCAAGCAACGATTAGCTAGCTATAATTGTAGTAAAGATTTGTTTTGCAACACTCACCCGATCTGGGGTAAACACTGAATTTAATTTAATTTGTATAAATTAAAATACTTATTAAAATAGATTTTTGAAAATAAATTAAATAAAATATGTGAATTTAAAAAACTGTTGTGATGACTGTAAGCGTCTGTCCGCGGTTGCGTAGTCGCCAGTATGATCTCTCTGAAGTGTATATATTCTCACCAGCGGCGGCGAGTCGCAGTCTAGGTGGAAGGGATCGTTCGCCAAACCGGTTTCCGTGGCGCGGTTAGCTACGCGGCGCGCGGCTCACGGCTCATTACGTTGAAATGGATATTTTTTGATTTAAATAGGCTTTCGGCGATTTCGACTATTTATTAATACAGAAAATAACGTGCAACGTTACATTCGTTTTAATCAACAAGTATATGTATACATATACCTCTCTACTAATACTCAAAATAAATTATTTGTTTTTACAGCTTTTAAATTGCTGAAAAGATGGACTTTAATACTTTAATATTTTTCATACAAAAATAACTGTGGGACTTTAAGTGTGGGAGAGCCAAGCTAAGTGAGGGAGAGCCATGCTAAGTGTGGGAGAGTCATGCTTCGGCACGAATGGGTCGGCTTGACCGGAGTGATACCACGGCCGCACAGAAAACCGGCGTGAAACAACCACAGCGTTGTGTTTTGCCGTGTGAGTGAGGTTACCGGAGGCCCAATCCTTCCCCTCCCCCAATCCCTCCTCAATCCCTAAATCACCAAATCCCTAATCCCTAAAAGGTCGGCAACGCACTCGTAACTCCTCCGTTGCGAATGTCCATGGGCGGCGCTGATTGCTTACCATCAGGTAATCCGTCTGCTCGGTTGCCGATCGTTTACATAAAAAAACTGATATCTAATCTTCGCTAAAGAGGATCGCTGCTTCACTAAAAATCTTTGAAACTTAATAAATAGGAAATCAAATTCCACACGGACTAAGGCCCAATATCTTAACCACTATTACCATTTGTAGGCGCAATAATGAACCGCGGTTCGGGCCCAGAGCAAGAAAAGGAACGGGTTTTGAGTCAGTAAGAGTCTGACACTCCCTCTCGCTTTACCTAGGGCGGAAGAAATGAATAAACGATTTCCTCCCCTCAAGAAAAAAAAAAGCTGGTACAACATTAATTCAAAATGACAAAACATTATGTTGATGTTCAGCAAATATTTACAGAGTCAAAATTAGTATAGATTTAATCATTTCGACCTGTGTTTACACCCTTACATGACTGCCTAGACGTAAACAAACAGTCTAAGTAAACAAGTCGTAGGCAACTCCCACGCATTGCTGAGTTATTAATTTGTTAAGTAAACCGTTTTGACATTGACATTGGGAGGTTAGTATTAATGAAAAATATTATGTACAAGCGACCCGCTCCGGCTTCGCACGGGTGCAATCCTAGTACTAAATTTCTCCACTATGTAATGGATCTTATTATGTATACATATAAACCTTCCTGTCAATCACTATTGAGCCTTTGACTGCCAACAGAAAACTATCAAAGGCAAATCCCCCGCCATGTATGTATATACCGCATGAAACCGCATCAAAATCCAGCTTACGTAAAACCGCATCAAAATCCGTTGCGCAGTTTTAAAGATTTGAGCGTTCATAAGGATATAGGGATAGAGAAAGCGACTTTGTTTTATACTATGCAGTGATATTGCTATTACTAATGGAGTTGTCATTAGCTAGGCTGCCGACAGACTTTTATAGGTATGAATAGTCTTTCCTAGCTAATCGAAGGCTGGTTTAAAGAGGTAGAATTACGCTATATGTTATTCCAGACTATTATCGATCTCTGTGCCAAGTTTCATTCGGTTCCGTTTAGTAATTTTTACGTTAAATGAGAAATAAAACCTCCATCCATCCTTACTTAGCTTACATCCTTTGCGTCTCATGTTAATAGGATTCTTGGGGCATAAAGTATTTTTAGAACTGTTTATGGTAGGTCATTTTTTTTCTTTAAATACACGGTGTTTAAAATAATAATAATAATATGAATAAATAGAATCACATTGTAAAAAGATACCTAGATTCCTAGATTCGAACTTTTTTGCAACTTGTGTTTAATTATGAGTCTATTAAATGATAATAATTAATTCATATCTTTAAAACGCTCCTAAATGTTTAATGTTTGCGTAACCCTACAACCGAATATTTACATGTTAGAATAAGCCATATAGCATCCCTTCCTAAGACTGGGTTATCTTTATTAGCTAGGGCTTCCACAGCATTTATCAAATAGTCATGAAAAAATGGGATTAATATTATCTGTCTGAACAGGTCGGTAACTGGCCACATTTTAATGACATAGAGACATGAGAGAAACATCATGTTAATTTTTGGTTTATGTAACCAAGTTTGGAAAACCTAGATCAAAATCCTATAAATGTTTTAAGCTATTTATGTTCATATCATCATTATAATTATATTGGTATGGTATATCCATTTAAGCATTGTGAAATGCATTGTGTACCTAATACCATATTCCGATTAAACACAAAAATAATAAATATATATTACAAACAAAATCGACTCTGAAGAACATGTTCATGACTACCAAATGTAACATCTCACATTTTTTAACGAACCAACACGTGTAACGTCGAATTGTCACCAGTAACGTGACAACCCTACCGACGAAAATGTATTAACCTTGGCAGTGAGCAGATGTCGGGCTTCAGTGACTACAGGAGCTAATCTACAACATGTGCCCAGTGTATTTTAGGGTTAAGGATACCAAAAAAATCTTCAGGGAATTCTCAACGTTATCGCCAAAGTAAGAAGGGTGATAATGCTTTACTAATCTTTGATAGATTAGTGTAGCTTAATGTGCAGTCGTGTGTACGTGTGTGGGTTCTGATGATAGAGGTGGGTTTTTAAATAGTGTGGCTTGTAACTGTTAGCATTTTACTGTAGACTAATAAAACAATGTTCATGATTTTAAATCTAGGATCCTAGATCATCATGATATAAGAGTTAAAGGTGATAATGTGATGATGATGATGAATGATGAGGTATTTATATTTTGGATACTCCACCATGTTTCCAAATAGTTTATTTGTTTTAAGGCTAATTTTTCAATGGCTGGATAAAAGCTACTTGGGGAATAATAATGATGCTGTCGCGTCAGAATGTTTGTATAAGACAGTAACAGCAACAATTTTATTTTTCACATAACATACATACACATTTATTTGACTATTGAAAAATAATATCTTAATTATATTTCGTTAGTAGATAGATTATAGTCTAGAATAACACAAAGGCTTAATACTATGGGTGAAGACGCTGGCTAAAAGTGTTGCATAAATCTATCTCATAATCTCAATGGTTTACATATTTGAAGCCTGTATAACAACTTTCATTTAATAAAGATACGATCTTTAACAAGTGATGGTAATAATAAAAATGATTTATGATATCCTTATTCGTAAATACTTCATGAGAAAACTAATTTTGGCTCTCACGTTGTTCTAGCTGTAGATACATGGTCATCAAAAAAGTTATTTGCATACGACTACAGTAATAGATGATGCATTTGCGGTCTGCTCTGTAGTAGCTAGGCAGCCAACTGCCGTGTAATGTGTCGCGGATTCGAGTACCGGATTCCCGCATTCATTATGTGATCCATTCATTGTTGTTCCGGGTTTTACATTTTCAACGTTTTATTTTTATTAATCAAAACATATGTCTAGTAAAGGATAGAAAGATTTACCACCATACACATTTTCCAACATCGTGCAATTGTATTAAAAATATTATCCGTTTTCTACTATAAAAATACACAATAATAAGCCTTAAAGATATTTGCATGAATACTCCAATCAAATAGCAACGAAAGTTAGATTCCGTGTCTCAATTTTATCTTCATGATCTACAAACACGGCCACTCCTGTTATCGAACGATGATGAACCTAAACTGCTGTTCGCTTGAACATTCCTTAGATAACGTTCTTTCCCGGTTTTACATGACAACCGTCCTTTTCCAGTAACCACTATGTTACGTGTCTAGACTTCTAGAAATGTCTGCAGTTTTGGGAATATGTCAGATGTTTGGAGTTCTGGATACATATGGAGTTTTTTGCAGTATAGTTGTTCTGATAAATATTCCAGAATATTTCTTCGTGTTTGGAAGAATTTCAAATTCAGGGTGCCTATTATAAATGAAAAGAGCATAACGTATGTACATCTATTTGGAAGCCCAAACATCAATAGTTTATCATCAAGCTTAAAGAAGATATCACGACTGGCCTTTGTTCAGTAACAAAAATCATCATCAGCCTATTTCCGTCCACTGCTGGACATAGTACTCTCCAATTGTACGCCACTGAGTGTGATATTCAGCTCTTCTCATAGTTCTCATTCAACAACTGTCAACCGCTCTACGAATTTCGTCAGTCCACCAAGCCGGGGGTACGCCCTACTAGTACCTACTTAAAAATGATAAACGATTTTTTTTGCACTATTTCAAATATCTATTTTTACCATCTAATAACTCTATCGAGGGCGTCCCCCACTATGTACCGATATGCACCTCACTCAGGTAGATTGAACACGTAATGCAACGCTAACTGTCAATAGTATGCGTCACATTTTAGTCATAAAAATGTCTGCGACCGGGTAACATCTTTGGGACTATTTTGTTACTTGAAACGGATCTTCAACATTAAAAGTGTATTTGAGGAATATTTGTGAAAGAGGAAATTGCCAGTCTATCCAGACCTTTATAATAAATTGTCTGCTAGAAAGAGAAAGAAACAATCCTGGTCATTCAATCTCCCTCGCCCCTATCTTATGAAATCGTCCACCAATTGTCTTCACGAATAAATTGATTCAGATTAATAAACTGCGGACGATAACGTGACGTTGTGTGTTATCAATATTGTTTCACTTCGGTGCTTCGACAGTTGCTCGAGTACTGCCTTGCAGGACGATCGTCGCATCATTACTTGGAATATCAAATAAAATATTGGTCAGTGCATTGGTGTTTGGTGAAGATAGTGCAGCGATATTAAATAGTGCTTTTAGCAAGGAAGTTATAAGTTCAAAAGTGATTCTTAATATAAGTGTGACTAATGAAGAGATGACGACGGTACGGTCGTATGGAATGTTAAATGATTGCCACACTGATGGGAAACTGTGAGTTTTTAAGTTTTTCCTAATATACCTACAAATGGTTTTTGCCAATGCTCATGCAATTTTCTCTTTTGCATTAGTCATTGTATTAATTTTATTGTGTAAATCATTATTGTAGAAGTTTTGCTTGAGTCATTCAGTATTCGATATCAAAAGAAGCAAGTTGGAACATGAAGTTACAAATATACGTTGGATTACTATAAAATACTTCACTGTTGGAAAACTTAAAATCAAATGAAATATTATACCGTCCGGTACCATCGAAGTTTTCAAGGTCATATTAAAGGTTCAAGTAAACTAAAGTGATCAATAATATTTATACTTAGATATTTATTTTAAATTTTATCTTCTAGATAAAGGTTATCTAGACACATTGAATTCTTAATCTGTCGCCTTCAATAGGTACCTTACCTACTTACCTATCTAATAAAATTATACGGAATTATTTATTACTATTTGTAATGGAACTCCCTCATCCATAAACAACTCATCCACTCGGGCCTTTAAGACACCCTTCGGGAGGTACAAAATGACATTTAAAATTAACATTATTCTATACTAGTTTCCGCCCGCTACTTTGCCCGCATTGTTTGTTGATAATCCTATTGTTGACCTATCTACATACCAAATTTTAACCAAATCGGTCCAGCCGTTTTGGGGTGAAAGAAGAACAAATATACACATTTTGCAACAGTGCTGTCTGGCGGTTGTAAACTTAATAATGTCATTTGTAAGAGTTGTTTTTTTTCTGTAAAATAAATAATTATGTAAAATATAAATATGAGCCATACTTACAATGATATTGTAAAGAATTTAAAATATTCTCAAACCGATTTCCAACAAAAATCGCCATGATGTCATGTCTACTTAACTTCTTTTTGTTTTATCGTCAAATTTTAATTGTTTTTCCTATAAGTTGAAACAGGCTTGTAGTATGTACGAGTACGTTAGGTATGTGTCATAAAAACTTTTGTCAAACAAATGAATAATGTTTCTTTTTTTATAGAATCGACTTGATCATTTTGTTTGTGATGTCATTATTTGATTAGGGTACTTTACTCGAAACCGTTTTGTTATGTGACTTAGAAGTATCACTACGAATTTTATGTTTTATATTTTAAATTTATCAAATTATGTGAATATTATGAAATTATTATGATTTAACATAACTATCAAATTATAAGTTCAAAACCCAATGGATTTTGGTATCGAATCATATCCATCTTCATACATTTTTGGTTAAAGTTTATAATTTTAATGCAACTATACTAACATGACTATATCTTTCACGCAATTCGCATAAGTATAGTTCGTTAATTTTTTTGTAAGAGTACATTACAAGTCTTTTGACATCAATCCTTATTTACGATACACTAATTCAAAATAATTTAGCAGCCATATAAACTTGAATTCAATACTTCATAAACGAATGAAATATATTATGTTTTAAACGCTATAAATCAAAATACACACGTCGCAAAGAATATTTATGTTTCAACGTATCAAAGAACTGTGTTTATAGATGAAATACTTACATTTATCACAACATCCCAACGTGGGATTTTAGCAGTCTTTTATATTTTTCTTTTTTTTCTCATGGAAAACCATAACAATCTCATAATAGTAGTGTTACTTTAAAATTCTTGTTCATCAAACTAACGCATAGTTCACGTCATGGATTATGTAGGAATGGAGGGCGAACTAGGACGTGGTGCTATGAACTAAAGTGTGAATAGCATCAAAAATAATATAGTTTCGGTTTTTTGTAAAAAATAAAATAAAATAAAAATTAGCCTACAGTATGGCATCGTATCAATACCCGGTTTATGTAAGAAGAGTAAGTAGCCCCTACGACATAGGTATTATTATACAACTGATCTCTGGTAATAATCGACTGTTAGACCAAATGTATTGTGTGCTTTCCCAGTATAGTATATATACGGATGTATGCTTTTTGGTCTATAGTATAATTTAGTAAAATAACTTTGGAGGCTAACATTGTGACGAAAATGAAAATACGTATATTAAAGACTAGCTACTCTCGCGCGGTTTCACCCGCTGCTCGGCTCCATTTAACCGTAGCGTGATGTTTTATAGCCTATAGCACTTAGGAACATTGTAGCTATCTATCAGTGAAAGAATTTTGGCAATCCGACCAGCGGTTCCAAAGATTACCCCTTACATACAAACTTACAAATTTTTCCTCTTTATAATATTAGTATAGATGAGTAATTTGTCATGATGCATGAGTAGACTTATTACCTGATGGTAAGCAATCCGCGCCGTTCATTGGACAACCGCCACTCCTGAGGAGTTACTAGTACCGTCCTTATAATTTCGGAGATTTATCCGCCCAGAGACGACCGCAACACCAGTGTACCCGCGACATCGTTCAGGGATTAGGGCTTAGGCAATTTATATGATGCTTTTCTAATTCCAAGTTAACCATCCATTTCTTCATTCTCCATGGTTCACGCTGGTGGCTCAAGGGTCACAATAGGCATTGTTCCCGAGCCCATTGTCTGAGCTTGTCACTTTCATTTGCTACCTTTTAGTTCATGCTTGTAAAGCTCCAACTAATAGGAGAAATAATTGTTGCATTGTGTGGTCTTATCTTTCCGTAGACCACACATGCTTTGTGGGTGTAATGTAAATTATGTTTCTGATTGTTTGTAAATCTGTTTTGAGATTTTATTGAGTAAGTTTAATTGTTGTTAGTTTAAGTGTGGAATAAGGGTCAGGTTTTGTTTTTGAAAGTTTATTTGGCACCAATTATATGGTAATTATATGGTATTTTTTATGAATACAAAAATATATGTACAGGCTGGTCCAATTACCTTAAGAAATTTCTTATAATCGACCTTCAGGCGATGCTGGGATGAGAGTGGCGGTTGAGTTTAAGTAAATATAATACATGAGATACTGTTAAACATTAACACCTAATAAGTTAGACAACATACATATATTAATTATTAATCTTTTCGGCTTACTCACGTAATTGTTTTTACGAGATACTCGACTAGTTTCAAGATATGCTAGAAGCCCATATTCATGAGCAGCATTCCTCAAACATGGGCCTCTAGCAGGGCTTGAAAATAGTCGTAAACTATTACATGAGTAAGCCGAAAACATAATAATTAATTTAGTATATCTCACGAAAGTTATAATAAAACATACATATACTTAAACAAATAGATACTTAGTAGATTTTTATGCGGCTGTTTAAAGAGTTGACTAAGAAGAGATCGGGTGGGTAGCAGGGTTCTGTGACAAACCTGAACCTTTTTCAACTGAGATCTTAAACCTGCCTCCTAAATTTGGACAAAGCAAACTAACCTTATGTAGATTAGCCGTAAACAGTCTAGGGTCATGTAATTGGTCCTCCGATAACCTGACTCACACGGTAAAAAACAACCTAATGCCCGGTTTCCGAACCCCGATTAATGTTAAAATCAACTAACTAGGTGTTAAATCTCTTGTCAAGTCATCTGATTGGTTGTTGATAATTCATTTAACCAATCAGATGTCTTGACAAGAATTTAAATTGATTTTAACATTGATCGGCCTTTCGGAAACCGGGTGTAGATGTTTCAAACCGTATTTCTGTAAGGCCGCAGTATCACTACTCCAGTCCTGTCGAGCCGACCAATTCGTTCCTAAGCCATCATTATACCTGACAGAAATGATATATTTATATCTACGATTGCATGAAAACTGCCCTTAAAATATCCTCTATGTAACACTGACATAGTTTTCAGTAATCAGGTCATTGTGTTAATGCGGTAAGCTTTGTCAATTTAATTAGTATAGAGTTACTCCATATCTTTGAACGTTGTTTCAGTACTAGTTACCGCTTCCGGTTTCATCCGCGTGGTATGTGGATAAATAACAGCCTATTTGTTAATCTAAGGTACCACCTATCTACATAACAAAATTTAACCAAATCGGTCCAGCCATTTTTGCGTAACAAACATACATTCACATTTATAATATTGTACAGTTACATTTTGACAACTTTAATACGGTGTTTCAATTGTGCCTGATATTAAGGAAAAGTTTATAGCCTTACAAAGGACTCATTAACATATTTATACCTCAAAAGCTATGTAACTACTGAATGGACTTTGATGAAACCTTATACAGAGATAGATTTTAGTCTGGAATAGCTCAGAGGTTACTTTTATTTAATGTAACGTTGGCCGAGTGGTTAGCAGAAGCGAGTATATCATAAATGTCAATAATTTATCACATCATAGTTATAATTAATGCTTAATAAGAAACTGGTTATTGCTCGTGATAGCGTATTAAGTCATTTTGTTTATTTAATATTTTCAATGCCAAACACCTGATGCCAAGTGTTTATATATAAAAGGTCATTTATCATATACTATGATGGATTAATAAGTTCGACCTCTAGCTTCTAACATTATGTAATAACTTGTAATAGTATTTACTAGGATAGTTTTATGCAGTTTACGTTATTGTATGTTTACCCTACTAATATTATAAATGCCAATGTTTCTAAGCATGACTTTTTCTATTTTCACGTAAAAAATACTGAATGAAATTACACGGTTATAGATTGTAGTCTGAAATAACTTTTATCCCGTAGCGGGCGAAGCCACTTATATTAAGTTAATATTAATTTTGATTTAAAAGTTGGAACTATAACAAACAAACTAGCTTTTACTCATGGATTTACTTGCTAGTTCCCATGAATGGTATGATGGTTGGTATGGTTTCTATGTCCTTCTCCATACTTTCAACTGCGAAAATTCAAGATGGTTGTTCCTAAAATAATTACATATTATATTCAGAAATTCAAAATGGCTGCCGTTGTCAAAGCGCAGAAATAACAAAATTTCACATTAACTATATTATTTCGACTTGAAGTGCTGAATGCTATTTGGAAATTTTCTTTTTATGTGTTTTTGCATTTGTGTTGGGATGCATGATAAAATCTTCGTTAGTGTTCTGTACCTCGTACGTTACCCAATTGCGAGCTATTATAGCCTAAATATGGCTCCGTGGCCAATTGCCAATTATACGCTCTAAATTCATTTCAAAGCCAAATCAGTCACAAAAATTGAAAGTCAACCATAATCTTTTATATTTGCAGTTAGTCTATGATGTAATAATGATTTCTGTTTCAAAGCATTATGGTCTAAAATTGAAAAAAATATTTGTTAAAAAAGTCAAAAATCATTTATTCCAATTAGACCCTTATAGACACTATTGAACGTCATACAAATTTTGAAGATATACGGTCAGTCTGTCGGTCAGTCCTCATTGTTATTTAACAACAAACATTCTAGACGAGGCGTGTAGATCTAGGTTTTTTTTATACAAGATCGAGTGTTGTCTTTCCTCTCAACCCTGGGAATTTTAACCCGCTATTACCACGCTAATAGCTGGTATCATCACCTGATTATTAGAGGCCATGTAACGAGTATAAAACCAACATTTTAAATGAAGAACATTATAACCGTTCTTAATTTAAAATATCTGAATCGACTGTTTAAAAAAATGCAACAAGCATCAAACATGTAAATAAATTAAAATAAGTTAAATTCAAAGACAATATCTTGACTTAAAATACTATTAACCTAATCGAACTATACAATTTTAATTGTTTTACATCCATATCGAAACGTTAAAATAAATCAAAGCACTCACATTTCAATAATAATGAGCTTAAAATCGTTTTGAAGCTAGGACTCAGAATAAATTGGCCTGAATTGTATGGTATGCGCTTGCGCACGTTAGGCAAATATCGTGGTGTCTGGCTTATTTTACATTGTTCCGTTAGTATATAAACTGTAAGTTTTGTTTTCAGTGTATTGGCATATTTTTGGTTTCCTGTAGATAACTAATATTTGTAGTTTAAATCTAAAAGTCTGGTTTGGTATATCTTAGTTGTGACTAAATGTTAATAATTTGTTATTCAAATAACAATGGAAAACAAACTTTTTTATTGAAACTATAAACCTTAATTTCGAACAACGCAACCTTTGCAACATTAAGCCAAAGAAATCTATAACACCATTAAAGTTCTTGTCATTCATTATAATATCTATAATAAAACAAAAAAGTGTATTTCTAATATAAAAAGTGAAAACACAATCGTTTGTCTATCGGTGCCAAGGCGGCTAGTTATCAAAACAACCAGTCCTATTAACAAGGCCAGTCGATTGATAGAACACGTTCGGCTAAAGAATTTATGGTATAAATTACCTTGTACATATTATGGGTTGAACGTCCTTTCGAATATACAAGCTGACAGCACATCAAAATATACGAATGTGTTAAACGATTGTCTACTACAATATAAATATAGTAGGTTTGAAAATCGATTAAAGAATTGTATTAACAGTTTTAGTAAGGTAAGGTACAAAGAAAAGCAACTATAATAGAAGCATTAATGCAAGGATGATGCATTTAAAAATATAACAGCGCCATCTACTGACTGACTGCATGAAATATGTACATATACATATAACGTGCCTTTTTGGGTCTTCATGCGATTGATATGATTCCCAATAAAATAGTTAATGTCGTTTTGTAATTGATTTAATAAAGAAAATTTAAAAAAAGTTATGTTTAGGCAAATATCAAAGATTGTTTAAACAGAAATGTTTTTATAATACTCTATTAGCTCCTGCCAGCGGGTGGTAGTTGAAAGTAGGAAATATGTTACCTATTCTAGACCCTCTCTGTACCAAACTTACTCTGTAACGAAATGGCAAGTTACAATAAATCAATTTTATTTTCTTACCAACAATTATAAAGCTTCCAACAAGTCCTATGCCTCTATCGGCTGATGTAAACTGCGCAGACATTCTGTCTGGTGACAGGTTACTATCAATATATTACAAATAACCAGCTCCCCTTAACCTCAGCACAATAAAGTAGATTGATAAGTGTTCACTAACATACATATAAACATGCGAACAAACAGAGTTGCGCTCTTCGGTCACATAAATCTTTATATTGTAGGCCACGAGGAAATATTCACAATTTGTAGCTAATTGGGTCTTTTGTTTTCGATTTGGTGAAAGCATTTTTATTAGTCTACTAATTATTAGAAAATTGCGAACAGGATTTGTTATAGTGTCTAGAGTATCATCGCTATTTTTAGGCAGTCTTAGTCTTTGGATGACATGGATGGCATTGTTATTATTTTTGTCAAATATGTCAATCTCTTTAATCTTATCGTGTTTTATTGCGGAAACAACTTGTAAACCAAAATCTGCATCACTATCAGACAATATATAATCAATATCTTTAAAAATCTTCTTTTCCTTGTCCTCAGGCCTCTTCAAAGGCTCAACAACCACGCTAGACGGGATCGGTCTTCGGCCGATGCCAGCAGAACGACCAAAAACGTTGAGAAAGCTAAAGTCTGTTTACGATGCGTCCCCGACTGATGCGCCGCCGGCTCCACCCTCTATCCTAAGCAGCAATGGACAGGCGACAGATAGAAACATCAATGGAGTTGAGGATGAAGTCAGGAGACGCAGCAACACTACCAGTTCGACGCAGAGCGGAGACAAGTCGCTGTCGATTCTTAGCCCGTTTGATGAGCAGGTAAGAGCCTCAATTATTTGTGTTTAAGATAAAGCTATAGCTAAGGAAATAACTTCTCAATTTCTGATCTTTTGGAGTCGCTGATAGTTGTCATTTAATTTTACTAGTTTTCTGCGGTGTTGTCATTACAATGATGCCAGAGGCCCAACCTTTCCCCTCCTCAATCTCTGAATCCCCAAGACCTCTTATACTTACCCAAAAGGCTGGTGACGAACTTGTAACTTCTCTGGATGCTTGTATCTGTAGAAGGCACCGATACCTTACCATCAGGTAACAAGACAGATCATTCGTTGCCGTATCACATAAAAAAGATGAGAAAAGCATATTGCCACAACCACTGAGTTTTCCTAAGTTCCTCTAAAGTCTAACTTCCAGGATTCTTTATTAACAGATGTTATTTTATACCCCTGTTGAATTCGCAATGAAAGTTGTAAAATCAAGATTCACTGCATTATTTCATATAAAATCTGTTTATGCGCAACACCACTACCAGGAAAATCCTATGATCAAAGTATTTCCATCAAGATGATGTGATTTTAACGTCACGGTATAAAATTTACATAAAACTAACCTACACTATTACAAAAGTCTTTTATGTACATCTAGGAAACATTCCAACAAATAGATTTGTATGTAAAATACATCTAAAAACGGTATTCTTAAGCTCATTTTTAATTGAAATATCAATTTGATTTCACAATAAAAATGATTGCATATATAATCCGAATAAACGTGGCAATGGAATTTAAAAGAAAATTATTTTCTCTGCATATGGTATGTTGTTATAGGTTATACATGTAAAAACTATTATCGTGTAATAATCGTTAAGCTAAAATGGAATTAATTAACTGTTAAGGTCAGATTGGCGCGGGTCAAATTAAATTGGTTGCGTCATTTCTAAATCACGGCTCGAGGAGTTCACGTGTGAAAGATACTAAGCATCTTATAAAATAAACATAACTTTATGTTATGTATTCGTATGGTTGATTCGATAGCTTCATCGCATTTTTTGTTATCTTATTTATTGTTTGAAAGAAAAGAGTGCCTTTTTTTGCCAGGGGAAAATCATCAAATGACTTCTCCCACCCAGGGTAAGAAAGTGTCAGACTCTTACTGACTAAAAACCCCCTTGTTCCTTCTCCTGCTCTGGGCTGAGGCCGCAGGGACTCATTGCGCTTAACTCGCAACCCCGGCTAGAAAAGAGTGCAGGCTTATTTTCGAATGTTTAGATAAAAGTTTCCGGAGGAATAATAATGATGCTGCTCGTCAGAATATTTGTATAAGACAATTACAGCAACAATTTTATTTCTCAGATAACATTTATCTGGCTATTGAAAAATCAGCCCTAAGTAAAGTACAGATAGTATTTTTTTCTTTGTAAAGCAAAACCTATGTTAAAAAGAGGTTTTTTTTTTTAATATTTGGGCTGATAATATAAATAGAATGATCAGTAAGTAATATGCTGAAATGACGCCAGATAAATATTACTATATAGTTCATTCCATAATTAGAGACAACAATTTGACAACTGATTTTTTATCATACTGATGGACCCGAGTACGATGTGTTAAAATACCGATACCGTTTTTTTATAAATTACCCTGAGCAAAACAAAAAAAAGTTAAGGGGATGTTTTTATAGTATAATTGTACCTAGTTATTAATATATTAAGCTGAAAAAGGACTTGAAGATTATCACAAATAAATGAACTCGGAGCAATATGAAGAGATCAGAGATCGGGTGGGAGCGATATTATAATCTGACTGACAGACATTATTTTTATAATTATAGAAACCAATACCAACGTGTTTCTAGGCTTAAATTATGTTTGACATTCCATCTGTCAAATTGCTGCGAGGAAATGCCAAAGCTCACCATAGTTTCTTGTAAAATAATTATATCATACCTATCAATGCTAATAGTTAATAGTTTTACAAATGATTTTCGGTCTTTCGGTCAATACCGGTCGCGGGACTTCACTATTTATGAAATGGAAAAAACATGCAACACTCAAAATGTCAAATCGTTGTCTCTAATTATGGAACGAACTATAGGTTTTTTGTACTTAGTTAATGTGATCACAAACATGTGTTGGTGCAAGCACAATAAATGTACCATAGCCCAGAGCAGGAGAAAGGACGGGGTGGTTTTTAGTCAGTAAGAGCCTGCTACTCCCTCTCGCCTCACCCTGGGCGAGGAAAGTGATTAAGATCCAGTGAGGGAGAAGTCTTTAAATGATCCCCATTAAAAAAAGAGATTTATTATTTGATTACTTACTCAAGCAGAATTTTAATCAATGCCACTTTTCGTTGTAATTTTATGACTCAATAATACCTTTACCAATTTGGCTAATTTTTGGCTTGGATTATTCGTGGAAGTCCAGAGAAGGTTTGTGATTAGAGAAAATTAAAAAAAGTCTTTAAAATGTGTAAAATTGACATCCAATCTTCCAATCCATGCGGGTGGAGCAGCGGGCGTACACTAGTTTTGTGGAAAATTGAGTGTTAAAATAATTAAAACTGTCTCTTTCTCCTTCACTTATAATTCATGTATTTTTTTTATTTGTAAATAAATAAATGGTTCATTATATGATGGGGTACCACAGGTGTTTGACGTCAAAAGATAATTCCCATACTTCCTGCCTTTGTTAGACGTTGCCATGTTTTACAAAACCTATTGTTATGCGAAATTGTATGTCTGTCTGTCACGGTTCAGAGGCTTAGACGGTTACACAGCGAATGCAATGGAGTGGCATTTGTGTTGGGTGAAGCGGGAAGGTATAGAAACTCTATAGGTATTTAAAAATAATATTGTATTTGATTTTGATCATTCACTTTTCATTAGATACTAAAGAATCTGGGAAAGCTCTATATCATCATACTTCTTAACTATTGAAGAGGTAGACAGAGTTCATATATCTGAAATGTATACCCAATTTATACCAGGCCCAATCCTTTCCCAATTTCTAAATCTCCAAAATCTTACTCCCCATAAGATTGGCAACGCAATCGTAACTCTTTTGATGTTACGGGTATCCATGGGCGTCACCGATTGCTTGCCATCAAGTAATCAGACTGCACGTTTGCCGACATAAATATATCATTAAAAAACCTAGTTATGTTTTAGTTCCATGTCATGAACTTAAGAATCGAGCTCAATACCCCTTACCACATTAGCTACCACTCAACCATCAAATCAGGCTCAAAAGCAAAGAAGGTTGTCTTCTCATATTTTTAAGCCTCAATAGTTGTTAACTTTTAACCTCTAGTCGCATCTCTAAGACCATAGAGCTAAAGAGGATTATAAAAAAAAAGTTGTATCATCGACAACTACCTCTAAATCATTGGAATTACTCTTAAGATGTATAAAGTGTTATTGCACGTCATCTTATTTTAAATCGATATGCATAAATGTTTTTCAATGCGTCGGTCGAGTGCTTGTGAAGTCGAGACCAAGGTTTGGTTTCTGATTTTATTGTTAAGATGTTTTTGTTGCATTTAAAATAATGTTGACTGTGGTTAAGCAAATATCCTTCATACACCTTTACGTAACCAGCCTGTAAGTGCAAGTCGGGGTAGTTTTTAGATGTCTGATGATTTTTCCTCTGCAAAAAATCCACAAAAAACCGCTTCCCACAACGCTTGCTCAGAAACCTAATTAAATATACTATAAATAATTGTAATTAGGTGTTTTTAAAAACTTATGCTAATACTGCACATACGGTGAGGTGTGACATAAATTACACTTCAAAAAAGAGGAAACGTTTCTCGATTCAACCGTTTATACATAATTATATAATTTTCATATATTTGTGATGATTCCATTCCGCGTTCGGCAAAAAAAAACACAACAATTTTGAAAATTGCAGGTTTAAAAACCCGTTTTTCTGTCATTCCAAGGTCAAGAAGATAGACTAAGTAATTTTATGTTTTTACTAACTAAATGACATGATAAAGCGGCCATGACATAGTTGTAAAAACGGTTATTTGAAATGCTAATTCCGATGATAACGTTTTGTTTTTAAATTAAGTGGCACTTAATTTTACGAGTTGCATTTTAAGCACTCGTTCTGAGAATATTATGTATCTTTTAAAGATAGTTTTGGTTGCTTGTAAAAGTGAGAATACTTTTACTTGAGATAAGCAATTGGTACCTCGTTGGCTGATTGCATATTTTGATTTTGTTATTATTTGCTACCTCTTTTTGGTCTGATGCCAGAAAAAAAGATATGTTAGCAACAGAATAATTGCGAGTGCAAGCGTAACGATTTTCCACGGCTCGGCTCGTAGCAGAAGAAGGAATGAGGTGTGACAGTCAAAGATGTTAATCAGAGTCTGACACTCTTAGCTGCATCCAGGGCGAGAGAAGCCAATGAATAATGAGCCCCGTTAAAAAAAGCAACACGACAATTAATATCATAACAACTAATAAAATTTGAATTTTATTCTTCGATAAAATAGGCGCAACAAAAAAGTGAATTGGCATTTATTGGGTACAATTATTTATACCAATGTGCAGGCAATTATTCAGGATAATTAAAACCATTTTTAAACTCAATTATTTTGCACTATTACCGCAGATGTCAGTTTAAAAAAAAACATACGTACACAAGAACGTATGTTTTGTAGGTTCATCATGAAATAATACCACATCAGCTGCTTACTGGCCACTTAACAAGTATCAATTGAGGACAATGCGCCATTGCATTGCAGTTCATAGGCCAGGCCAGGTGGTGACAACAGGTGATCGCATCTTTGAATATGATATGTTATAGCAATGATGTGCAGCTGTTTCGCGAAGTACAGTAGGCATTAAGGCGATTAAATGCAAATTAGAGTATAAAGTGGGAAAATGGAGTGCACAGGTGTTTTGAGGTTATCTTTGTCGGTTGCGCAGAAGGCGAATTCTATTATACAAGGGATTTCGAATTCGGAATTTAAATTATTAGTTTTTTTTTTATTTCGTTGTAAAGAGTTCAGAGTTCAGAGGTATTACAATGTTTTGAAATAAATTCGATTGTGACAATTGATTTTATGCTTTTTAGGAATCTAAGATTTTGTAAGTCAGATCTGGTTTCATTATGTCAGCGACAAAAGTCATCGCGGTTTGATGCTTAGACAAGAAAATAGTGTCTAAAACATTACTGCAATAAATAAGTACACTATCAACAACATTTTTAAAAAGCCGTTGACATTTTAAATTCAAATGAATACACTAAAACTGTTACCCAGCTTGCCATCACAAAAAATGAAGTTAACAAAAAATGTGAGCAAAAAATTGTCACATTAATGCGGGTGTTGCCCACATCGTGATGAGACACAACACAAGTTGCGATCCCGATAACATCGTGTCATAAGAGTAAATATCTAACAGAGAATGTCATCTGTATATGTACGATGGCGAGGAATAGTTTTTTAGTTTTTTTGCGCAAAGAAGGAATGTACCTCCCTGATTTTCTGATATAGTATGTAGTCCCCACTTATTTTACTGATTAATTATATTCGATTAATAATGTTTTTTAGTTAAAAGCGTGTAATCAAATTTATAATCCATATGGAGATCGTTAGGTGCCTTGGAGATCTTTAAACTCTTACCCCCGAAACGCGGATTCGGATTTGTGGATGTCCATAGCTTACCATCAGGTAATCCGTTTACGCGTTTGCCGACCATTATCATATAAAAAATTTATTTCGATTGTTTTTTTTTAATAACTACATTTAATTTCATCAATGTAGTTCATTAAATAGTTCGCGTTCACTCTCTGTGACATATCATAATCTGTGGCTCGTGTAGGCAGGTGTTACACACAGCAGATGTTTGAACGTCGCGTGAAAGCGATACGATGCCTCATGTGATACTGTTTGTTGATAAAATCGATGTGTTATTTCAGTTTCATGTGGTTGTGCTATTCTAGTTATAAAAGGCTGATCATTTGTGTATTTTTCTTCTTAATTATGAAAGGGTTAAATAATTGTTTTATTTTATGAAATGGTTACATATATTTATTTAATTAGGTTCTAATAAATTTTGGCAAGAAATATTTTAAAAACAATTGGTGTTCATCACCGCATTATGCAAAAAGTATAATAAAAAAACTTATTAATGAAATATATCGCGTATGTAAAGTACTCACATAATGTAATTAACTTTACTTCTTTTGTTAACAGGAGGAATGGGCGAAGATCTCCGAAATCATGGCGTCGTTTGGCAGCAAGCTCGTCCGGGAGTCCGTTTTCGTATCAGAATTGGAACAGGAGTTTACTTCCAGACTCGGTCTTAGCTGTTCCGAATCCAGCCTCAGTCCATCCGTGGCTTCGAACCTTGGATTATGGCTGTCTGGCATGGGATTGCATGACTATGAGAGTCTGTTCCTAGAAAGCGGCTTCGATGATATCGATTTTGTTGTAAGTATTGTGTCATGAAATTTATTTAATCAAAATACAAAATTATTAAATTGTATATTTGATTGAAGAAATAATTATGAAAAATACTAGAAATAAAAGTAACAATAAACATTTGTTCCAGAACGGTATCCTAGATGAAAACGATCTCCGAGAGATGGGCATAGAAGAGAATGATAGACAAAAAATACTAGAATCAGTTAAACAATTACCTCTTAAAATAACTGAAATAAGCAATAATCATAACAATAACAATATAAGTAAGAGCCAAAACGAATCTGTAGAAGAATGGCTGAGAAATATTAACTTAGAACAATATAGTGATACTTTTAGAAAACATTTGTATGTAGATATGGATAGAGTGAGAAGGATTTGGGAAGTGGAATTGACGGCTGTGCTGGAAATCCAGAAGGCTGGACATAGGAAAAGGATTCTGGCTTCAGTGTCTGGACAGCATAATGGACCTGCCAATCATATGGAGGATATTAACGCTGATCTCAATACTTTGGTAAGTGATATTTGTATTCATGATCCAGAAATTTCGTTGGCTTTTATTAGGTTTAATACACAAACATAAACTTTATGTGTTAATGCTACAAGAATGTGTGTTGTGGTAGCCTGGAGGCGGGTTCGAAACCTGGCAAGTACTAACTTGCCTTTTTCCGAGTTATATGTACTTTTAAAGATTATTTAGACACTAAAGGAAATTGTGGTGAGGAAAACTGAACTTATAATTTCTAATTACCTGTAAGTTTGAAATCGCAAATACTCCCTCTTTGTGGTGCCCAGTGGGCTCCTATAGGCTGATGATGAAATACAAACAGCACCATGATATACAAACACCACCATAAAAATTGCCTTTGCCTTAAACTCGCCTTAAAATTGGTTTCTTTATTATGATAGTTGATTCGTCCAATATACAGGTACTTAAATACAATGCACAATAAGATGATATTACCATAATCACTGTATCGCAAATTATCTTTAATATCATGCTAATACTGCAATTTCGTCTTAATTCCAAGAAGAAAAAAAAATTTTGGTGTCTCAATTTTATGGCTTTAAAATTTTAATTTTGTTCTTATATGTTTTATTTTTTTTGTTAATGTATCGGGTAACACAAAATTTATAAGTATTTCTGCATTATGGACTACCTAAAACAATTCTTTCTACATCAAAAAGTTTATTTTCCCTATCCAATTCCGATTTAGATTAGTAATGTAATCACGTCGTGACCACCGTCGATTACTTTACGGAAATCGGTCGTCGCGTCGATGGTTATCGACGCCTCGATGGCACACCAAGAGAATATAGATTCATAACGATATCCACACCAAAACTGTACTAATTAAAACTATTATTAAATAATTAGGGTCGTCAAATCCGTTCTAAAATTATTTTCGTTAATGTTATTGGAGTCAAAAGTGCAGTAGTAACAGACGTTGAAGGGAAACAAATATATGATAATGGATAGTTAATAAATGATCATGGGAATCACGAAGTTGGATGTCAACACCGTGCATACTAATTCATGGTTTCCCATAGATCGTCGATCGGACCCAAGAGAAAGCTATTACAACACTGATGTTGTAAAGTAGTGCTATAAATATTGTAAAAATATCACGTAATGGAATTTGGAGACGGGCCGTTGACGAATTCTAAGTGGATTGATTGATTGACTTGGAAGACGAAATGAGGTCAACATTTTTGGTGTAATATGTTCTAAATCGAGTAGGCTGTTGAGCTGATTGAAAGTAAAAGTTAGATTTTTAAAGATATTATAGTTTTTATGCATACTTTCACTTCAATTCGATTTAAGGTATTGTTTGGATTTCTTTAATTAAAACTGACACGTATGTTCTACTTCATCATCTTGTTGGTTTCATAAGATTACCAACATTTATAAAATAAACCTTTTTTAAATCTCTTTGAGTCCTATAAAAAAGGAACACTTAAGTAATATTTCCAGACACATCAAACTCTCCTCATTTAAATCTCGGTCTTTAAGAAACAGACACCAAATCATCATATCAATAAATCAAATACATGAGATACCCCAGGATGGTTCAATCTGGGCAATGAAGTGAACAATTCGTTCAATCAAAAAGCTTATAAAGAGGATATCCTCACAACGAAGCGGCAATTGTATGCGACAGGGTGTTGCCATGTTGTAGAATTGAATGAAACTGCTCATGCGATTCATGATATGGAAAGGGTGAGATCTGTGCTCGTGTTGCCGGTTATTTGGTTGTAATTGGAATTTAAGTTGCATTATTTATATGATATGTTGATAAACGAGCAGATGGATTACCTGATGGTGAGCAATCCGGGCCGCACATGGACACCGGAAACAAAAGTGGAGTTACGAGTGCGTCGCCGCCTATTTGGGGGTAACGGTTTGGGAGATTTAGGGGTTAAGTGAAGGAAAGATATTTATTCACAAATTTAGCCTAATCACAAGCAATACAAAGCAACTATTTTACAGATTTTATATGTAAAATCATGCCTAATTTTTTAAATAATGTCGTCGGAATTTTGCCTATAGACAGACATAAACTAGAAGTGGAGGCAAAATAAAAAAAATATGTACAGTACTTAGACTACGTTCGTCTCAAAAAAATGTAAAGATGTGTACTTTTGCTTCAGCAAGAAAAAATTGTAAAATAAGTAATATTATAACTTCTTGACGCAAAATTAATCGCATCATAAAATTCATCACGGTTTTTAGGGGCTAAAATTGACCACCATATCACGATGCAGGTGCATACTTATTCCACAATGATTGCCAATTTATCGCAAGCACATCCTTTAGCCTTACTTGGCTTAATATTATTAATATGGGGCCCACCTGCTGTACCCCACCTTATTGCTTTCATATCATGTGTTTCAAGCTTATTTGGATTAATGTCGGAAGGTTATATGGATTCTGAATTGTTGTATTGTATGGCAACCCGTTGAAAATTTTCATGCTTGTTATAAGGTGAATTTGAACCACCTTTTCTTTGAGTTTGAGTAATACTTCTTTGCAAAACACTCTTTCTTTTTTATTCGGGTGAGATTTCTAGCATTCGGGTCGACATTTGGACATTTGTCTTGTTTTTTTTGGGATTATTTGCACGAACCAACAAAATATGAAAACAATTCCACTATTATCTACCAGCACTTGCCTTTTTTAATATGCATCTCAAATGAAGAGTCCTGCTTCGAAAAACAATAACAATTTTATGACATTTCACGTCCATTTTTGTCCCCATTTTCGTTTTTTGCTCAATATAAAACCCATCTTGCACTTAAAGTGACTTCAATAAAATTCCAAACACATTAAGGGTGTCTTGATCTTTATTATCGTGACACCTGGAAGGGGGTTGCCTGGCTACCCCCCTGCACACGTGCGTGATTATAATTAGCAGCCAGATGAGCAATTTAACCGGGATTAACCGGTTTAATCTCCTCTCATGTAAGTAAGGTTTGATGAGGTGCTGAGATGAGTTTTAAATAATATTGTCGGTTTGTGTTTAAAGTGACACATCTTCTTGTGCCGTTGTAATAATAGTATTTTTTTTTGTGTGTTGAAAATCAGATGATCTAGACGGAGTGTTAGATTCTCAAAGTATAACGGGTTGTTTGCTTCATGGACTATAACTATCCCGTTCCTTCTCTTGCTCCAGGTCGGGTACATCATTGTGCTTGACCATAAACCCCAGTTATAGTAGTTTCTGAGTGAAAGATTGCTATGGATTTTATTTAAGTGTGGGAGAGCCATGCTTCGGCACTAATGGGTTCGCTCGACCGGAGTGATACCACGGCCTCACAGAAAACCGGCGTGAAATAACCACTGCGTTATGTTTCGCCGTGTGAGTGAGGTTACCGGAGGCCCAATCCTTCCCCTTCCCCAATCCCTCCTCAATCTCTAAATCTCCCAATCCCTAATACCTAAAAGGTCGGCAACGCACTCGTAACTCCTCCGTTGCGAGTGTCCATGGGCGGCGCTGATTGCTTACCATCAGGTAATCCGTCTGCTCGTTTGCCGAACTATGACACAAAAAAAAAAAAATGGATTTTATTTGACTGTCTCTTGGTGCGTGATTTGTAAAGGGCCTTTTTGGACATATTGATTTAAGAATTCATTCTAAAGGACAGGAAATTGAGGTAATTGTCTATAACTTTTAAATGATTTGTGGAAATATTTGTACCATCCAGTAATATAGTTGTACTATCAAGTTTAGATATATAGTCTAGAACTAGGCTATTAACATAAGTATTTGGCACATAGGTACTAACTCGCATAATATTATGCGGCCGCTCTTAGTGCATACGTGGAATGAATAATATACATGATAGTAATAGACATGTTTCGTTCAAAACTTAGTTTACATATAATACGTATTATATTAATTGATAAAAGGAACAAACTATACTGTAGAAGGGGTGGTAGGCAACCGGCTGTTATGCAACATGTGCTGGGTTCGATATCAGCACGCAACAACTCTGCACAATCCACAATTTGTCGTTTACAAAATTTTACACGAATTGTTGACGCAAATCCTAGAGTTAGGCAACGTTTTTATCAAAAAATATATATAATATAATTATATGTTATATCATTATCTTTATATATAAAAATGGATCGCAAAATGTGTTGGTAAACGCATAACTCAAAAACGCCTGGATCAATTTTGCTAATTCTTTTTTTATTGTGTTTGTTATTGTCAGGAGAAGGTTCTTAATATTAGAAAAGTAGAGGGGGAGATTAGGAAAAAGTGAACTTTCGATAGCGAGATAGTTGGACCCGTGCGAAGCGGGGGCAAGCCGCTAGTATAAACAAAGTCGCTTTCTCTGTGCTTATATCCCTATGTATTTTTAAATCTTTAAAACTACGCAACAGATTATGATGCGGTATTTTTAAAAGATAAAAGTTATTGCAGAGGAATGTTTTTATGCATAATAACATCTTTTAAATGGCGGAGAAATTTAGCATCAGCATTGTACTCGTGCGAAGACGGGTGGGACACTAGTTAAAAATCCAAACCTATTATTATAAACGCGAAAGTAACTATGTCTATCTGTCTTTTCTTCACGCCTAAACTACTGAACCGATTTCTGTGAAATTTGGTACAGATATAGTTTGGAACTCGAGAAAGGTCATAGGATAGTTTTTATACCAAAAAACTGCAGGAAGTCACTATTCCATGCGAACGGAGTCGCGGGCAAAAGCTAGTTTAACACAAAAATCTCATCATTCATACAAAAACATCGTCAGCATCCATACACAAGCCACGCTAATTCACCACGGCCACAAATTCACGTATAGCTGCCATTTTTTTTAATTTTACACGTCACCAACCCTGTATAGGTAATTAGTGCTCAATTTCTCGACTATTCAGCTCGTATTCACTGGGAGTACCCCACTCTCACTCACGGAGGGAAACGAGCCCGAACTACGGTATCGGTGAAATTTTAAAATATTTTTCATTATTCTTTTTAACTTTTATGTTTATCAAGAAGTTTTTATTAAGATATTTGAGCCGGAAAAATTGTGTCATTGGTTTTATCGATTTTAAAATAGTACTTATCAACTTGATCTTGGTTATGGAACGTGATCTCTCGTGGTTGACATTAGATACCTTTTTTTAACACCCAAACGATATTGAAAATTTTATTCTTGTTAAAAATAGATAAAGAAAATGTTAAATACTAAGGCCTGGATATGAGCCTTAACAAATATTCAACACATTTAAAAGAAAATTTTAAAATTTCACTGTTAGCCCACTGCTAGTTAAAGGTCTCATGCAGATAACATTTGAGCCTCCACCACGCTTGCTTAAGCTTTGGACTTAGGAAATTTCTAACTTATAATTAAAAATATAAGTACAAGCGTCATTACAATGAGCCTCCCGGTGCAGCATAAAGTACGGGATTGCTTTTAGTCAGCAAGTCTGGCTCTCCCTTTTGCTCCATAATTTTCGATGATTTCCCTTTTAAAAAAGAATCGTTACAATGTTTTCCTTTACCGTTTGTTAATAGTATCCAAAATAAGTTAGAAAGTATATTTAACTCGGTACGGTCACATTGGTAAATGCCAGTCTACGGAACCTCATGTATGAGAAGCGAGATCCTTAACATCCCATAATAGACAGTTGGAATATTACCTAATTACAAATAAGTATTTGTTAACGTCACTTAAATAACCTCTAGACTGTGTTCACCCACTTCTTTTCTTTCCGGTCAATTAACTAAAACCTTTTCAATGACAAGAAAAAACGGTAGCTCGATTTAAAAACAATTCAGTGTTTATCTGTATCTAATCTTGTTTTTATATCAATGATTCTATACAAGTATTATTTAGTTTGATTCGGTTGTAAGACACGATTTTTTACGTAAAATATGAAACAAAGATACTTAATCATTGAATATTGTATTTCGTTGTATTACGATCATGAAGTTTGTCATAGATTTTTGTTTAATGAAAAAGTTATGCGCTAAACAGTATCTTATTCTAGAAAAAAAATATATTTATAATTTCTTGTGTCACAATTTTATGTATACCTTACTCCCCCGAAACAGCTTTACTGATTTTAATCAAACTTTTTATGCATATTGAGTTGGTCTGAGAATCCGCTGCTGGCTATTTTTCATACCTCTAAGTGATAAATAATTTAAATGTTAAAATAATGTTGCCTGGTCAGCTAGTATTTATAGATAAAGATTTTTTTTTCGGTTTTGAAAGAGGAAAAAAATACTGTCAAGACACACTTATATGTCTTCTAGTCTTTAAGATTCATCCAAAAATGCTTATTATTTGTAGGAGATTGTATAGGGAACTCTTCAGGTTGAATATCGTCAGTTCTAACACCGATAACAACAAAAATAATCGAAATTCCACCATCAACCCACACAAATTCTACAAAACAATATCATTGGTGGTCCTCAACGCACTAATAAAGCAGTTACAATATATTATCCTGTACCTAGAAACTGCACAAATAATTTAGACCGAATATTAACATAAGCTTGTAATAAATGAATACCGGTTCGCCATTGCGGTGAGTTGTATACAAGTGGTAGGGGCCATAGCCTCACTATTTCATTCTGTTCAAATTTATTCTGCTGGAAGCGGCCCTTTTCATACTCGCACGTAGTTTTTACCAATGACACCGTCAAATCAGATGATTCAATTATTTACTTGTGAACCTTTCATTGCCTTAATTAAAATTTTACGCTCACTGGCAATGTTTTTAATTTACTCTCTCGTTTTGTTTTGCACCTCTGAAGTGTGAATCCCAGGATAAGTGTCATTTTATGTTTTGTTGCATATTGCTCTTTGTTGGTGTCTTTTTTATTTAATTAGAGTTATTGAGGGGCGAGGTGTTCGCTGTAGGCGTTGAGGGTGCCACTTTTTGTTGAAGGCTAGATATCTATGTGATTCCATATAGGACTCATTTCGTTTTGCATGTGTATATTGTAGATTTCGTGTGGCTTCAGAAGTTACATAACAAATTGCAAAGTGGAAGAAAAAACACAATTTTGAATTAAAATAACTTTAATCTAACAGCAACATACTTTTTCTTCTAGAAGAGCAACATACAGCAGCTAAAAGAAGAAATCAAAGAAAAGTTACCACCTTCAGAAAATTTGAAACCCGTTCCGCCTCCCGTTGTACCTACGCTAGCGCCACCTGGCGGTGAGACACTAAAGCGCAGTAAAAAGAACAGGCCCGCTCCTCAGCCACCAAGACCTTCAGACTTGGAGATCAGGGCACCATCGGAACTGCTGGTTGGAGTACCAGGGGCGTTGAAGACTCAGTGGAAGCATCAGCCGTTTGTACTGGTTACAGGAGCTGTCACTTACGTAGCAAATGTGAGTTTTTTACATAACAATTCTTTTAGATATCATCGCTCAACAATTAATCAATATAACATTTTAAACATAACATAGGAATGACAATAAAATGAAAATTTAATTTCTTTATCACAGTACCTAGGATCAACAGTGGTGAAGGAGCTTAGAGGTACAGAGTCCACGAAGAAATCAATCCAAAAACTGAAGAAGTCTACCAAAGAACCAAGGGATTCTCCTGACATCATCCTTTCAATCAGCTATAGAGGTGTCAAGTTCCTTAACACTATAACCAGGGTGAGTTCATATAGAAAATTTAGTTATGTAGCTACACAAAAACTTTTCTATAAAAATGAGTCTTAATAAAAAAGGATAAATATCTCTGACAAAGACTTTTCAAAGAAATTCTACATTTTCTTTTAACAGCCAACGGATGAAAAACTTTAAAAGAATAACGATCTTGTATCTTTCCTTTCAACTACTCCAAAGTTTGTAGTTTCAATCCTTGGCGGAAAACTTTTAGAGACTGTTAAAGGTCTTTGAAGATCAGTCGAGTGAAAAGCAGCAAACATCCCGGGCCTTGCAACAAAGGACCTCGAAGACCCTGACTCCTGCCTGATTTTTAATTACGGCTCATTCTTCACACTTGATCGGACCGATGACCAATCTCTTCTTTGTGTTTCTTAAAAAAAGGATTGTTTTTTCTCTCTTCCCCTTTTTGTACAATGAATTTTTATTTTAGAACTCTTCACGGTTAGTTAAGTGGGATAATTAGTGTTTTTTCAATGTTTATGCTTGCGAAGCACGACTGAAATTTAATTTGGACTGTTTTTTTTTCTACGTAAAAAAGAGTAAAATATTGTTCGGGACAGCGTTCGTTAAAAAAGTCCGGCCTTTTGAATTTCGACAGGTTGAAAGCGTTTTCGACTGGTAAACGATTGGTTCACTACTTTTTAACTACGGGGTCACAAGTTACACTGTGTAAATGCTTTTAATTAGAGTCGCGAGAAAACAAGATTTTTATAGCATGTCGTAATTACAACTAAAATTGCAGTTTAAAATGTCCTCTAAGTTTTGAACTTTATTTTAATCGTCTTTTATTTTTATTTTAACCATTTGGATAACTCTTCTACATAAGCATATTAATAATGCCGATATTTCTCCGTCTCAGGAGTTGGTGTGCGAGCATGAAATCCGTAACATCCACTGCGCGTGTCAGGACGCTGATGACTTGACTCACTTCGCATACATCACCAAGGATCACACCAGTCGAAGCCACTACTGCCACGTCTTCCGAGTTGCGACTATGGTGAGCTATTTTTGTTATTCTACTATTATGGCTTGTATTTACTATTTGTGGTTTAATATGACGATTACTTACTAAGATTTTCATCAGGCAAATTGATGAAAGTGTCTCACAAGAATTACTATGTAAAGAAAACCTTGTATTCATTTAAAATTGTTTCCATTCCAGGATCAAGCCACAGAAGTGATTCTAACACTAGGCGAGGCCTTCGAAGTAGCGTACCAAATGGCTTTAAGAGAGCAATCCAACAGAACCAGAGTGACACAATCATTAGCTAAGACCCCGACTCACGACCCAATGACCACGACCAACAAGGAGAAACCAAATGTCAACCACGGGAGATCACATTCCATCACCGAGATCAAGTTGAATGGGCATCAGCTGAAGATTGCTCCACTACCAGCTTCCCTATCCAATGAGGACTTCCAAGCATCGTCTAGAAGCACCGACGGCTCCAAAAGCCCAAGAACTCCTCTCCTCAAGGCCCCCATAGCATCTACCGAAGAATTGTGAAAGCGAAGGTAATGTTAACTAAGCAGACTTAGGTCGTTACTGCCACTTTCCTGAACAAAGGATGATATTGATCTAGTAGTAGTTAAAGTAACATAGAAAGTTTTTGATGTTGATTAATTTGGCTAAAATGTTCATGGAATTGTCTTCCCGGAAGATAAGCTTCCTATTGTAATGGAAATTTTAAATGTAAACGAAAATTATAATGATATAAATCTAAACATGTCGCCTTTAAATTATAAGACGGTCATTTTGGATTTGTTTGAAAACCAAAAATTATTGTAAGTATCTGTTAATGTTTAGCAGTTTTTATACTAATTTTTTTTAATGCAGTCGATGTAAAAGGAAGCTGGATATGTCTATATGAAAAATGAAATTTTGCAATGTTTTATTGATATTACTCAAATTTTGAATCGATATTTTGAAATAGGTTTGGAGGTTAGTGTTAATTTGAGGTTGGCACACATTACTCTTCGATTAAACCTTAAGGCACTAAGTAATATTATCACGAATAAATTTGGTTTTAAATATTGTGTTCATTCGATATTGTAATAAGTGCGTTTTTTATCTGTAAGAATATTTTACATTTATTTGCGTTTTATTATATCATAATTGAATTTTCTGCAATATTATCGGCTCAATTGTAATGTGTGGTAGCCTTTTTGGACCAACTTGAAAACTACTAGAACCAGTTGGTCTAAATAGAATGTTAAATTATGAATTTTTGTATATCGATTTCGACACTGCTTTTACGTACCATAACCTTATATATATACGAACTTTGTATAATAATAATAATAAAAATAGTTAAAATAAAGAATTTTACTATTGAATAGTAAAATTTTAGGGGCTGTTATATTTATATATATAGTAGGTTTTTATTGATTGTATATTTTTGTTTTTAGTGGTATTGTGATTATGTTATTTTAGTGCAGCTGTATGAAATTTTTTATCCATAAATGCGTTGAATTATACATTTTTTAATTCAATTGTTTTTCAATAGCTTTATTGTATGTAGTCGGTTTTGACCTCCTTGGACACTACTTATTATTTAATGGAGCTATCAAACATTTAGGAGGTAACTAATGAGGTCTATGCAGGCTATAACAAATATAATTTTACGCGTTTTGGAAAATATTCGGATATTTGGGTAGGCCTAACAATATAATCTCGTTTAGCATAGCGTTACGTTACCATATTCGGTGTCGTATTATATTTAAAAATAAATGTAAATAAATGTAATTTTAAGTGATTCAATTAAATATTATGAATATGGGTTGTTGATAATACACAATCTTATGATGAAAATAAAGCGAATACGCCTAAAATAACATATAGTACATAAAACATATCAACTGATGTTACATGTTATTTAAAAGCCAATTTAGCTAGATCTCTACTATTATATGATTTACGAAGCAAAGTTTTGTGATTCGCTTGCATGTCTATTTAAAGTGGTCGGCAGTTTGTAATTTTAAAATTGAGCTTCCGATGTTAATTTTGCATGTAGTTTTATCGAGTTAAAAAAGTACATACAATTAATAAATGTGTCTCAAAATGACGAAAAAAAAATGTTTTGAAATTTTTCATGTTTTCTTCAATTTACGGCAACCGTTTTGCTCAAGCCAGTGGCGTTTTGCAATTGTTTTTTTTTAATAAATGTTCGCTAATTTTAAAACATTTTGAAATTGTACTCTGTTTTTGTTTGTATGAAATTGTATATGTCAAAATTATGACGTCATAGTGTACACAACTTTGACGTATGACATTTTGACGCGAAGAGTACCTACACTGTGACGTCATGTTTTGACATTTTTAAGTCTGATTATAAATTTGAGATTTGTGTATCCATGTGATAAAAAGTAAAAAAAATATACAAATTATTATTGTTTCTTTCATTTATTACCTGCTGCTTCTTAATTATTATTTGTATGTATATGTGACACGGCTTTTATAAATGTTATTAAAATTTAAAATTATATTGTCATATATCTAGATTTATCTATCGATGTTCGGTTTAATGATGTAGATTATATCAATATTTATATAATGATAATAATAGTTTATAATTATGATAATGATTATAGCTATATAAAATTGTGCCAAAACGCAATATTACAGGTAATAACGCCAATATACAAACCCCATGTTAAATTTCCCGTTATAAAGAAATTGCTCATTAGTAACACCATAATGTTTTTATCAGGATTTGCGTGTTTTATAGATTTTTTATTACATTTATTGTAGCATTACCGTCCTTTTTTATTATTGAGAATTTTCTGCAAACAAATAAATTCATGTAGATTTTGTACAAATTTTCAGTTGATTTATACAAGTTGACATGTTTTTTGAGTAAGTTGACATATTTTTAAATGTTGACGTGATGTTATTAAGATATAATTTGATACATTTTTAAATGTAAAAAACAATGGTGTGAATAAACGATATGGGGGAAAAATTAAATGAAAATAATTGACCTCAATAAAATGAACCTTGCAACAAATTAGCTAGAAATAGTATGACACTGGATGTATACCAAAGAGATATATAATATACTAGTAAATAGATCGCAACTCAATAATATTAATACATTATATATTATAAGTACCTGTACCGTTAATTATAAAAACTGAAAATATATATAATAATCACTGCCGCAGAAATGAAAGATTTTCGTATAAATTAGAGCTTAAATTTTTATAAATTTATATGTTCTTCAATGTAAATACGAATTAATTTTGTACCAACATTCATTTAACTCTGAAATCTTCATTAAATTTTTGTGCTTATTTAAATGAAGTTTGCGTTCATTCAAATGAAGTTGAATAATTGCTTCCTAAAATACCTAACTACACTATGTACGGTAGAAAGTTATTGGTTGTGTATCGTTATTTATTTAAATGTAGTATTTAAAAAATATATTGTAGTTCAGAACAATTGAATGCTATTGTAAATACCTATCTATCTATAATGATATTATATTCAAATTTCAATAAACAGTGAAATATATTTGGCTTATTATTTATCAAATGCTTATTATGCTTTTTAGTTTTTATTATAAGGAAGACCTCAAAATATTAAAATAAAAAAGTATTTATTCTGTCAGTTACGTAATTAATAAATTGCTTATTTTTAATTTTTCTATTACAAAAAAAAAATGCTGCATAAAATGTATTGAAGTTTAGGAATGGGATCTGAAAATATATATACCTACTTAGTATGAATAAATATGTGTATAAATCATGCCGTCATCACATTGCACAATATTTCAAATTAATGTGTTGTCGCAAAGTATTTAATTCCTTTAGAAAAGAAAAAAATACGCGTCTAATTATTTAAATTACCTAACCAAAGATTCAACTTACAAAGTATTTGAATATTTAATTCATACATACAATATAAGACAATAAACATACAAATGGAAACAATAAAAAATACACTTAACAACGTTCAATATTAATAATAACAAATAAAATCTCAATAATTTCATAGAGACCATCTAGTAAAGAAGTGGTTGACATCCTTATTGTTTTATGCCGTATAAGAACGAGACCAAAAAGTATACGAGTAGGTACATTTATCGATCTGGTTGACTGGTACTGGTTGCTTAGTTGGTGGCTTTAATCATCTACAGTTTCTGATAATCCATTGAACTGTGAACGACCTCTATGAAAGAAGGTTTTTTTATGTAATGATGGCCAGGGTGATTCTCCAAAAAACCTTAACTTTTATTTAACAAGTCATTATCCTCCCAGGTTTTTAAGCATCTTAGTAATTTATTTTATACAATATTTTTAATCGGTTGCTTGTAAGCAGTGGTGAGATTTAATTTAATAAAATAATTATCTGTGTTTTAATCAGCAGACTCGTTAATTTTCAGGATTTTTGAGGATAATGACATTATTAAATTTTTTTTAATTGATGTTAAGAATCACCCGCCAATGACCAGTGGCCACCTGATGGTAAGCACTCGACCCCGCCCATGGATACCCGTTACGCAAATTTGCAAGTGCGTTATCTGTCTTTTGTAAATAGAGATTTGGTTTGGAGAATAAGTCCCCTCAGTAACTTCATTCTTGCTTTTCAGTAAGACTGAGGTCCATCCATACCTAAATAATCCAGGTATTTTTTTCAGGTCAAAAGATATGTATACGCGTAAAGGTAGTCTTGTCTTGAATCATTATATCCTGATGCAAGCAAGTTCAAAGTTGAAAAGGCATGCAAAAAGAGCAAAACTAAAGAACTAATTATTATGAAAAAATAATTGGCCTGTTTTAATGTCTTGTCTTGGATTTTGTGCGGTAGGTATTTGAGGTCTGTTTCTGAGTTCAATTCTCTATCTGCAATAAGTACGATAAATATATTTGGTGCTAAATAGTACCTAGTTGCATTTTAGGTACTTACGGAGCCTATCTTTCTAAGAGATTAGACTTGCTTACTACTGACTAAGGCTGGAAAAGAGCATCGGAAGGAAGTGAGGGATTTATAAGTACTTAATTTTAATGGTCTAAGATTCTCCGTGTGAGTAGATGTTTTTGTTCAGCACTGTGCACTTATAGACTGATGATGACAATGATAAGGGTTATTTGCTTTAAAAGAATTAACGGTTAGTAATGTTACTAATTTTATAAATACGAAATGCGAAAGTTATGATGTTTGGATATTTGTTTCTGAATCACGCCAAAACAGCTGGACGGATCTGAATGAAATATGGTACAGGCATAGAATACACTCCGGAATATATTATGTCATATTCCGGCTACTTTTTATCAACATACCACCTGCTAGTACTGAAGTATCTTCTTGATATTTTTAAAGACGTATAGTTAAAGGGTATTTGACATTATCATGTCAAATGAGCACAAAACAGAGTTTATCCATTGAATTTATTGAAATAATTAAATTGAGGGAAAAATGTAATAATCCTTCTCATCAATCGCAAATACACACTGCTATTGAACACCGAAAAACAAATTCAAACTTCGAACAAAAGCAAAACAAAATTAAATTAAAAAAATACGAAAATCATAACTCATTCGCACAGTGTAGCCAGAAACGCCAGAAAAAAAAACCAAACAAATCCAATAATAAATTTTCTCTTTTAGAAACGGCTATAAAAAACGGCTAATTATTTTTGCGCCATTAGCTTAGCCGAAAAAAGGTTGAATTTTAAGCGTCATTTATTAATCTTGGTTTGGCACGGTTCGGCACGGTCGATTAGCCGTGAGGGATGGATCGGTCCGATCCGGGCCGGTACGTGGCCGGACACTTTAGATCAAAGATAAATAGCCAGGTTGTATTGGATAATGCTTCGTCATGATGTAAGGGCTTAGCTAAATAAACATATAATTGCTGAATCCATAACACATACATATTTCTGCCAGTCAAACTCTTAGCCGAGACAAACTAATGGTCGCACGAATCAGCTTTATATCATTTGCATTTTTATTTGTCAGTCATCAGTCGTCATAACAATGCTCCTTTTGGATTCTGAAGAACTATATTACTTTAGTTCTACCAGTGTACACAAAGTTCACGCTTTGATGAGTATGAGCTTAGCTTCAGGTGGAAAAGCCGTGGTTGCGGGGCAAGCACAATAAGGAACCGCGGCTTCAGCCTGGAGCTGGAGAAGAAACGGTGTGGTTCTTCGTCAGTAAGAGTCTGATAGTGCTACTGAACTCACCATGGGCGAGGGAAGATATTTTGATAGGCCCTGTTAAAAGACAAGATTCGAGTGTAGTGTAGCTACTATCTTATACGTCTAGAAACGCCAATACAATAGTGACCAATTCAGTATGTCTTGTGTACCTACATCTCAAAATGTATAAAAACAATCATACAATTTGTCTACGTTTTTCGACAGTTTGATGTTATACTATTTACAAGTTCTGTCTCTTTTATTTATTTTTCAAATATTAAAGCCGTCTTGCGTTGAGGACAAGCCTTTACAATGATTAGTACAGAAACTAATGAGGCGAAACATCGATGTTCACAATCTCACCCCCAGCTAGTTAATTCGGGGATTATTCAAGTATTCTTAACTGTTGGTTAGAAGATTCATGTTTTTCTCATTCATTTATTTTTATAAGCAAATACTTTGTGTATTTTTCGTTTTCGCTTGTTCTAATGTTTATATTAAATTTACTCTGATCTGGAGATGGACTGGTACAAATATTCACATAAATTCACAAGCATTTCTATGTATGTTTACTCCTAATAATCTTACAAACTTTATATAATTATTTTTCTAACTCCTTCACATAGAAATACGTGAAATTTCTTATCTTATGAACGCAACCAAAGACGCTGGTTGTTAAATAAGCACATAAGCCACACCATAATCAAATAAAATGTTTTTACTGTTTTTGTTTGACCATTTCAGTTCTAATAATCTTTATCTTTATCTATCTCAATATTTAACGAGGCAAAACTTCAAGTACTATGGGCAAATTATTCACTGATATATAATATATGGCCGAACGCATTTCAATGGTTTCCATTTAGTAAAATTGTTAAACAATTTAATAGTTTATTACAACAAAGAGTACTTGTCATAATTTGTATGTATGGAGAATTGTTGCAACCCCCCTACAAAAGGGGATGAAATTGAGACGTACTCGAGTCAAGTGGAACATTTGTTATAAAATATAATACAACGTGATAAGTACACAAATGTTACAAGTACTGGGTACAGCTGTTTAATATTATAAGGATGATGTTATCCTACTAATATTATAAACGGGAAAGTTCATAAGTATGGAGTCTGGATGTTTGTTACTCTTTCACGTAATAATTAATTTAATAGATTTTTAGTAAAGACATAGAGATACATAATTCCGTCTTTTTGTAGAGGGGAAAAATATCAAATGTCTACTCCCGCCGTAGGTGAGTGTCAGACTCTGACTGACTAAAACCACCCCGTCCTGGGTTGATCATCGATAAGAGTGGGCCCCATCTGTGGTGGTCTGCGACGCACCGTATTGCCCCTGCTTGTCTTCCACAGACTTGCGCTTAAGCTGACAGAGTTAGGTAGCTGAGTCTGGAATTACATAAAAACTTCTTTTTATCCAGGTACAGTGGATAAAGCCGCTGACAGACAAGATTTTAACAGCCGCTTTGTCCGCGTTTTAATTTGATAAAAACAGCTGATGTTTTAATCCAGGCTATCACCTATCTACATGCCAAATCGGTCCAGTCGTTTTTGAGTTGAAGAATAACAAACATACATCCATAAATTCTAACAAACTTTCACATTAATTAAGATTAATAGGATTCTATCGTTTGTTATGCTATTCTGCCGATTAAGGGCTGATTTTCTCATAGTCAGATAAATGTTATATGAGGAATAAAATTGTTGCTGTCAAATTGTCTTATAAAAACATTTTGATGCGACAACATCATAATTATTCACCAGGTAACTTTTATCTAACCATTGAAAAATCAGCCCTTAGTGATATAAATAAAATCACTTAATTTATTTTAAATAAACTTTAAAAATCAAAAGTTCGAATTGAAAAACCTTTCACTACATCAGACCTCAATCTTGGAAAATTTAACTTCAATTTTAAAGCGACTAACGTTACCGTTGGTCGGGCGGCAAATTTCTCATCAGTTGGTGCCGTGAGCGGCAGATCGTGTGATCAGCTGATCGGTTCTAGATCCAATATGGCGACGATACGTAATTGCAGTGGAGATAGGTAAGTGCAGCGGTTAAATGATGTACCTGTTAAGTAACGATAGCAGATTCTTTTTGTAGAGTCTTCAAGTCGCGTAATTTAGCAATTAAAAAAATATTATGATTCATTATGGAATTTTGGGTTTGATTAACTAAAAAGTTTACTTATTAAGTTCTATATAAGAAGATATTAGTTTTAATTTATTAAAAAAAATACTAGCTGCTCTCGCGCCGTTTCACCCGCTGCTAAGGAGCAGCCTTCCTCGATAAATGGACTAATAAACACAAAAAGAATTGTTCAACCTAAACTAGTAGTTCCGGAGATTAGCGCGTTCAAACAAACAAACAAACAAACTCTTCAGCTTTATAATATTAATAATACAATTATAATGGTAACCTGAAACAACTAAGAATTAGAATCGAAATAAATCGAGGTATTTTATTTACTGAATTTTAATTAAAAATTGATATTATTAGTAATAAACGTTTTTACCTTACAAAGTTAATAAGAAATTAAAGTTCCTAAATTGATATTATCATCGAAACTTAACCCCCAAACTAACGCCTTAGGACAAAAAATAACGCAAACCTAAAAAAAAAATTGCAAATAAAATATAAATAAAAAGTAGGAGTTCAGAATTAACAAAGAAAGATTTGATTCATACACGTCGCGAGTCGCACGTCGTGTCGCGTCGACTCACTAATTGCGCACGCTCACTGCTTCACGTAATTAGCAAGTAATTACTAACTACAGTCGACATGTTGACTTGGCTTAGAGGATTGACACGACAACGTTGCCAGCTTTGAATTGTAAAAATCCAAGATTTCTGCGACACATTATGCAGTTGTTCGTAATGTGTGAAAAAGAAAATACTGACACACTTTTTCGGTATACCAATTCAAAATATCTTTTATATGTTACAGGTTTTCTAACAACTTTTGGCCTAAGCTTATCATAATTATACTAATCATCTCATTGAGCAGCAAAAACAAGTCTTCAAATTCTTGCTACATGGAAAATGATTATACACTTATCGATTGCCTGACTTCGCTTGAGTGTAATGCTAATAATAATAAAATTCTCCACTATTTAATAGATGTATATAATTATGATACTATACGTATGAACGATCTTGAACTGCGTCAAAATCCGTTGCCTCGTTTTAAAGATTTAAACATACATATGGATATAGGGACAGAGAAATCGACTTTATTTTATACTATGTAGTTATTTATCCTCGTATTTGCCATCTCAATAAGTGAAACAATGAAACAATTAATTTATTTTTGCAAAGACGCCATACAACGGCACTTTTACACGTGAAATTGTATGTGAAAAACTAGTTGAAGCCGGCATTTCCTACCTGACTAGACTAAGAAATGCCAAAACCAATTCAGAACAAAGTAAGTAAGTACATAAACACCTATTTACGTTACATCCTGAACAAAATTTTGCATATTACAACATACACAACCATAATAATTATCTCTAACTGATGTACACCCTACGCCATAAACAGCACGTATTGAGGTCGTATTAACGTAATTAAGTTTATTGCGACACCGTACGGCGAAACAGGGTTATGCGGGGTGAGCGGCGCCGCGCGGGTTGGACGGGGTGAAACGTGTGCTGGAACGGGGGCTCAAAGCTCTTTGACTTTATATCTTGGAAATTATATTACCTACTTAGGGTATCACAAATTATATTTTACATACAAGATATTTTTAATGAAATGGCTTTTGTTTTATGATGTGGTTTTAAATGAATTAAATTTTTGGTTGGGCGGTGTAAGGGTTTGTTTAAATGTAGCTTCTTTATTTTTAAGATGTTTTTTATTCGGGTCTTTAGTCAATGTGTGACTTGCAATATTAAGTTTATTTGTATTCAAGAGTCTCGGTGTTGACTACACTACACTTAGAACAAGTCGTCAGAATGACTAAACATTAAACTTTAAACATTTTATAAGCACAAAACCCATAATAATATATGAATATTATTACTATGACAATTTGAACATTACAGAAAATGTACGATAGTAGTATTTGAGTTATGTATATAATTATTAGAATAATCAAAAGAGAACAAATGACTGTTTTGTACATACGATCATACGTATATATTTATACATACATATGTAGATATATGTATATACACGTTGATAACTCGGTCATATGTGACAATATGCCTAGTTACGTTATCATAAACAATTGTGACTCTACAATGGGTTCATACATTCAACAATAGCTCTTACTATACCTATAATATATATAAAGTAGGTACATTATATAAGTACGTGTATATACTCCCGGTAACAATCGTGAATCTCCGCAGCCCGTGACCAATACTGCGTGACAGTCGCACGTCCCGGTTTTCCTTCGGATTTTCTTAGATGTGTTGCTTAAGGATAAGAAATGTGAAAAAAAAAATATCATAAAAAATAATCATCATGTTAGTATCATTTTTAAATGAATTTATTTATAAGCAAAATAATCATCATACCTAACCTATAACTCGTTGCAGAAATACTCATATTTCTCATTGGATTCAGATTGTTAAAAGTGTTTAGGATTAGAATAGTCATGATTAGGGCGCCCGCTTCTCATTCGAAACCTGGCAAGTACCAATGTGACTTTTTTTTCTACGTCATATAATTATGTACTTTCTATTTTTATTGAGACACCACTTGGACTTTATAATTTCAAGTTATAAGTTTGAAATCGCCAAACGGCCTTAAGCAAACGTGGTGATAAATGCTCAAACCTTCTTCGTGTGAGAAGAGGCCTTTGCTCAGCAGTGGGCTTATGGCTGATGATGTGATAATGTGTTAAGGATTATATTTATTTTATACTTTGGCGATAGAAAATCATGTAGTAAGAAGGCAAATAATATGTTGGCATATGCAATAATAAATATAATATATTGGCTATAAGAGGACGGCGTAAAACACAATCGGATTTTTTTTATGATATCACAAGGAAAATCGTTTACCCACGCTTTGTCAAAAGCGAACGAAAAAATAATGTGCGACTTCAACCTACACAAAGTCAAAGTCAAAAGTATTTACGACTACTGCACTACTATCCGTGAATTTTTTAAATTGGTTTGAACAAGCGAAAATTCGATCACTATTTTTAAAAATCAAAATATGCAGTACTTGAGTCATGGACACTAAGTGGCACTGTATATTTTTTTATAGAATATCACCCTTTCTTATCCTAGACTTATGAATCCAAGTTCCCAGGATAAGGTCTACCGACCCTGCTGAATACAAACCGAGGTGATCTGAAATCTTATTGCGGAGATTACCCTCGCGTCGCCGACTGAATACTCACAAATCCTAGTGTGTTCCCAACACGACTTATAAAAGGCTTTTCGAGTAGATAGTAGATAGTTCGGTGGGATAGGGTGCGGTAAGGGTGACTTTTGGATCGTCGCAGTCAAAAATTTTGATAATAAAACAAATAAATTGTAGTTGTGTAAAACATTTTGCAAGTACCAATGCAACTTTTACGAGTTACATGTAGTTTTTAAGTTTATTTATTGGCAAACGGCGAAGGAAAATATCGTGAGGTAACTTGGACTTATAATTTCCAATTATACGATTGAAATTGCCTATCCGATTGTAGGCGTGGTGATTAATGCTGTGTAAGAAGAGGTATATAACAATATGCTCTGCAGTGGGCACTTAAAGGCTGGATGATTTGATGATAATTATGTAAGAAAGTATTGAATACCGTTTTTTTTTCATTATTGGTTCTGTAAGCTCGTACTAGAAAAGCCGAAACCATATAAGTATGTTATAAAAAATAAAATACACTTTATACATATTACCTTGAAAGATCATTAAAATGGTGGAATATTTTTGGCGTCTTAGTTTTAAAAAAAATCTTTTATCTCATTGAAACTCTTTTGATCATCAAAGAGGTCGGTTCCCTTAACATACAAGAATAAGCCCAGAACTAATGCCAAACTATAGGTAATAATTATACCACATAACATTATACGCCATTAGCAAAGAGCATTACCTATAGGAAGCACTAATTTACTCCTACATACATATAAATACACATATATATAGCAAACCGAATTGCCATTGTTGTATGTTACATTGTAACTGCTTCACAGGTGAGTGCGTTCGTGCAACGGAATAGTACGGTTTGCACAATAGAGACATACATATGGTTTGATACGTAATTAGGATCATTATTATTATTATTATTGCAACAAGCAAATTATTGTGTGAATAAAAATGGAAAATAGGTAATAGGATGAATTTAAAAATTCTTTGTCAGAGTAATTGTTACGCTGAACTTATTCATGTTTAAGCCGGGGTTTTAGATCCAAGGCAAGCGCAATACTGTTGTACCGCGGCCCCGGAGGGTTTCTTTTTGTGAGGCGAAAATCATCAAATGACTTCTCCCGCTCATGGTCGGGCAGGAACAGACACTCCGTCTGACTCTTACTAACTAAGAACCCTCCTGCTCTAGACCGAGGTCGCGGTGCCTCATTGCGCTTACTCCGCAACCACAGCTGAACATCAGCCTATACCCTTCTGTGGTGGTCTATTGGCCCGTTACGCTGTACGCTCGGGCCTGTTTCTGGTCGGGCGGCGAGATACCCTTACCCGCCGGCAGACCCGCGCTTACGGTGGCCGGAGATCGTCTCTTGATCCCTGACGCTCAGGGTGTCGCCTCTCGATCCCCAACGCCCGGAGTGTCGCCTGCTGCGGCGGATGGAGCGTGAGGAGGAGGCAGCGCCCCGGTTCCTCCCGCTCCGCACCATGGCCTCGACTAAGGCCTGGCGCGAGATGTCGCACTCTCTGTCGCTCCAGCAACTGCGGGAAAAGTCATATGAAAATTGGCTCCCCTCAAAAACATACGTGATGATGTTTCTGTTCATAGTTTTTCTAAGAGTGCATAGTGAATGCATAATGGTATATATTGTAACTATAATTACATAAAAAATATCACTTTTATTTCTGAGGTATGTCTGTATAATCTGCCTTGATCATAATGTTTGCCAGTAGAATGCATAATTATTATTTAATTTAAGTCCAACACTGAAATATTTTGTTTGGAATGCCAGTTGATACTTCTTATAAGATTGATGATAAAATATGGGGACATAGTAGTCATTTCATATTCTCCCTTATTATAATATTATTAATATGTCCGATGACCAAATATATAGGGACTTAGTAGTAATTTGATGATAAAAATATATATGTACTCATATCTATTTCTATCTTTATTTAAGTAAAAAACCCACGAGCCACGGATCCCCGCCACACAATATGTCCATTGTGCGCGGATTAAATTATATTTCTAAGCGAATGTACCAAGATATTGTCCTCGAGGAAATTGTTTATGTGACTTCTGAAACTACAGACTTCGGAGATTTGTAGGATTATACTTGACAGTAGTATGTCATTTGATGATCGCTGGTAACTTCAAATATTGTAAATAGGAGTAAATATCTGCATTCTTGGACGTAATCTGCTGGTATCAGAAAGAGGTAAGAACAAGAACTTAGAACGGTTCAACTTTAAATTCTGCTGAAGGAATCAAATTAGAATATGATGAGATGCTGCATGACCAAAATTAATACTTATTTTATGTGGAGCTTGTCGGATGGACTTCCCTAACTCTGGGTGGGGCGAAAGGAAGTTTCACATTCTTTCTGACTAAAAACCACCGCGTTCCTTGTCTTGTTCCCTAATATGGCCCATCTTAACCTGAACAAACACTACAGGGCCATCAGAGTCCGAATAGTTTCATTTAGATTCCATGATTGGTCAAACTGAAAGGAGCCCAAAACATCTTTAGGCCTTTGACTGCCGACAGAAAACTGTTGAAGGTAAATCCTCCGCTAACGGAGGTCACCGATGACCCCCGATGACCCTCCTGGCGTTTAACGTGTAAATGAACTTTGTTTATCATTGTATGTGTTGTGTATCCTTTTTTGGAGGTCGTAACTGAATAAAATAAAAGATCATAAAGATTATCAAAAGTCCAGGATGAGGACCGTTGTAAGTAGTAAATGCGAAAGTAACTCTGCCTGTCCTTTCCTCACGCCTAAACCTATTTCTGTGAAATTTGGTACAGACATACCTAGTTTGGAACTCGAGAAACGACATATGATAGTTTTTTTTAAACCAAAAATCTGCAGGAATTCACTATTCTACGCGAACAAAGTCGTGGGCAAAAGCTAGTAACAAATAAAATGTTAAAAATTTATAAAATTCAAGTCCACAGTGTACGTGTATTACCAGGAAGGGCTGTTTAAGGAGAAATGAGGTTCTGATTACGTGTGGACGGTTGATTTGTTCACAATCGGTTCACAGTACGGTGAACATTATTTTTTCATCGTGTTCCGATATTGATAAATATAATAAGCCCATTTATTAAAAGTCAGCTTGTTGAAATTTATTTATGTTATTAATATGCGGTATAATATCTGGACTTTTTATGCTATCGAGGCAGCTAGCCAGGCTATGTAAGTGGTAAGCAATCGATGTCGGCTTTATATGGCTGGGAAAATTGGAGTTTGAGGATTTGGAGATATGGGTATAGCAGATTGATGATTATAAAAATAAAGGTATTTATAAGATACTAAATTAAATCTCCCAAGTAAGTATTGTTTAATGTTACGTCAAAAAAAAAAGGTTGTTTTAGGCAGAAACGAATCTTTCTGAAATGAAATAAATTTAGGACCTAAATTATTAACGTTATCTAGAATATATAAATTCGTAATAACACATTGAATAAAAAAAAAATCGTAATCAGACCAAACCTGTAGAAGTGTGTCTATTATAAAGAAATATAGTCGCGTACCAAATATATACGTTCTCTGCATTTTTACACGGAACTTTTCAACTTTGGCGATATATTATGCCTTATGTATGTTGAAAAAGACGCTATTTAGTCCGTGCACAGCTATTTGATATGAAGTTACGATAATAAAGACTGACCAGGTATAGTGATATTTACATTGATTGGCTACTGAGTGGTCCAACGGTTATACAAAATATCTATAACATAATATAGACAGTGACTCTGTATTGATATTTTTTTGTGTTCTTACTAGAATTTTAAATAATCGTGAGACCTGTATCAGTAGTAAAGTACATTACGAAAATTTATTGAAAATAAATTGAGTGCAGCAGGCGCGGAGTGACTTAAAACTACAGTTTTTCTCACTTAAGTCAGGGAAGCAAGTCGTTATTATTAAAAAAAATACATCTTATTTTTATTTCATAATGATTATGATATAAGATTATATAATATCACTGTCACAATGCAAAATAACTGTACTCAGACGTCTAACTTAGATTCTTGGCATAGTCTATTATATGTGTTTTTTTATTTATGTCAGTTGTTAGAAGCTTGCTCGTTTGACATGGAATACAAGTATAGTTTTTATGAAAAAAAGTTTAATATAATATATTCTTTCGCTTAGCTCACATCTTTATGCTAGAAATTAGTATCAAAATTGCACCCCTAGTGAATGAAACATGGGCGGGTCGCTAGTATTATACAAAACTGAAATAATAATTACGCTAATTTAATACAGATAATGAGTACGAAAATACTGGTATAAAGCTTGTAAACACATAAACGATATTAACTATATATAACTAAGTAAAACGTAATAAGTAAATATATATGTATGTATGAAGTGAAATGGCAAACGCACGATATCGGATCGTCTCGTCGTGTCGCGGTGGAGTCGACTCGTAGCCTGTTATTCAGTTCAGTGCACACTCGCGATTTGATTTTATACACATGTGTATAGAGCTGATAAATTCATGTACACTTCGCTTATTATCAACTTTGATTGACAGTTAATATTTTTCTAAGATTAGATTTAGTTTCATTAAATGTCAGAGTATCAGAGTTAGAATTAATGGATATTATTACCACAATATTTATAGCTGGAAAAAAGAACGTTAGGCGAGAAAAATATGAACAATTGGAACAATGTTCTGTAATTTTTTACTTTATTGGAGCAAGTTTTAACTGCTAAGGAACCTTGAATTCTGCCTTCTCGCTAGTTCGTTTTCTATTCCATTATTACACAACACCTAACTCCTCACAATTCGAACTCCATATTCGAATGACCGTTATATCTCTAGAGCTGGAAAATATACTTGCCTGTCAAATTTGACAGCAGTCAGCAGACAGCTTCTACATAACAGTTAGTGCAGCCACTAAAACCGACTATACTATAGGCTAGTTTAACTAACTTTTTCATATATTTTTATAATGGAAAAGGTCGGCAAATAAGTAGGCGGATTGCCTCATGGTAAGCAATCAGCGCCACCCATAGACACCCGCAACATCAAAGAAGTTACGAGTGCGTTACCGGCCTTTTGGGGATAAGGTATTCAGATATTTAAGTGTTGGGAAGAGAAAGGGCGAGAGGGAGGGATTGGGCCTCCGGTAAATCAATGACACGGCGAAACACAAAGCTGTGATTGTTTCACGCCGGTTTCTTGAGAGGCCGTGGTATCACGAGCCGATCTATTCGTGCCGAAGTTTGGCTCTCCCATATTTCTAATACTATAGTCAGACTTTTAATTCGATTCCTGATTTGACATTGACCACTGTCATTTTGTGAAATAATGATACCACATATAACAGTGTAGTGATGAACACAAAAATCGATAAACAATCAGTGAATCAGGTTCAGAAAGGCATTCAAAAAATTACGGCTGCCGAATGGTCTAAATGCGTATCCCATGTTGTCAAAATAGGGGAAAAATGAGCAAGCTAGATATGTTAATTGACAATAAAAATCACAGACACAATTTATAATAAATGTTACAGAAAGTAACAGCGATAGCGATAGCGGTGACGGCGACAATTTATAAAATTTCTGTTTTATTTGTCATGTTCCTTCATGATCACATTTTTAATTTATTTCACACACAATTACAAAAGAAAAGTCTCAGATCGTTAATTAATTGTCAAAACTAAATTATCGGATCAGAAATATTTTATTTCCTGATAAACTTAGTTTACGAGATTAAATTTATAAACGAGAGGAATCGATTCAGAAATATTCGATTTCCACATCGAATAATTTCGCAACGTCACTATTTAATACGTGTCATAACGTTGCAACACTGAAATTGTCAAATCTGGAATGGAATTAAAAGTCCGAGTATAGTAATGCTAGGAATATTTATTAAATATGGGAATGCTGTATTATCAACTCCTTATAATGATATACAAACGCTGGAGTGTTGCTCACTGGCGTGACTGTGCAGATCAGTGGAGCTGCTGAGCACGACCTCCTAAGGTATGTGTGCTTTGTATGTGACTTTACTGAGTAGTTGCTGATAAAATTCTAACACCCTTATTCAGAGTACTAGTTTATAAATAAGAAAGATAATATATATAGTAGGTATAGTATAAAAAACAACTTTAATGGCTTGGGTTTGTAATTCAATTTGGTTTCAGCAAAAGTGAGTTGATACAATCAATAAAGCAGCTGAAGAAAAAATAAGACTCATTTGTTATTATATAAATAACGAAATACAAAAATGTGAACAAATAGTTAGTTACTTTCTAATTGTAGGAAAACGACCGAATAGAGAAAAGCGTAATATACCTCCAAAAACAAAACATAATTAGGCCACATAAAGACTCCATACAATTTTATGAATCAAAATCAAGCATCACCACAATTTCTAACACAATTGCCTAATAACATAAATTACGGCAGTCGACTTAAAAGTCTTATTGTCAAGAAAATCCACGCAATCCTTTAACAAATCTGATAATACGATCTACGCTGGTGCGCGGGCGCATTGGAGCGTGAAGAGCCGACGACTCGCGAAGACGGTGATGTCGACCGAGTAATACCGAATACGTAAGTCGGGGGCGTAGCTCGTAGCACGGCGTAGCGATGTAGCCGCGTAGTACGTAGCTTCACTCTTAAATATTGTGATGGTACTGAAGTTTTGTTTCAGTTTTGTAATTAAAGTTAAAAGGAATTTTTGTTATTTAATGGTAGTGAAACGGTTTTGTCATAGCGGTAATAGGATACGTAGAATGAGTTAAAAATAATAATATTATGAATAGAAAATATTATGCCATCTCTCATTTTTGGTTTGATTTATACGACAGTATTAATCAAATTGGAAGTTTAACATTAAACATAATTACAATAACAGTGTTATTCATACCAAGCGAGAATCGAACCCCAACCTATCAATACTTTTAACAGCAGAACTTAACAATTTTCAGATCTGGAAATCGGAATAAATCGCATTTTATGCGCTATACAGCCTTCTTAATTATTAATACTGAAATATGCAAACTTAGTTGTCTTCAGCGGCGGTATTTTACCCGATTCGTACAAATTATAAAGTCAAATTGAAATTCTCCATATTCCTTG